GCCTCTCGTCGTCACGTATGTGATACAAGAGAGTTTCGCCATCAGCGTGTCGTAGATAATTGGGGGAGCGGCTGTTTGCGGTCCCGCGGGCATGCTCCCACCTCCGGCGAACCGAATGACGTACAATGTGCGAAGGATTTTAGGCGAATTCGCCGCGAAATTGCAGGAAGAAGCAGGTGGTCGAGGATGGATAGGCTCGAGGAAGTCCTGTATCTTCGGGGCTGTTTGTTACACGTCGGGCGTGCAAAGGAAACGCGAACCATTGCGTTTATTTTACGAATGTACGTGGGATTTGGTAATTGATTGGGCAAGGGTTGTCGAGAAATTAGTGTGTAGAATAGTGTATAAGATGAGAACAGAATTGACTTTTTAACCCTTGAAACTTTGGTGAAAATCAGCGACAGCCATATTGCTAAAGCTTGAAACAAAACTTCTCCAACCCCCTGAACCCACGTAACGTCGCGAGTCCCCGCGACGGTTTGGACATTAGAAAAAAAGCGATGAGTAATCTGTAGTAAAATTCGCCGGCGTAGAGTCGAGTGACATAAAGTGCGTCGCGGATGGCCGCTTTATAGTCTCGTAATTTTCATCGTAACCGCCCGTAGAACGATGCCGCCCCGCGTTGTCCGATCCTCCTGGACGACAGACGGAGAAAGCGATGACTAGCAACGAGAGAACGAGTGGGGCGGGGGTGGTACGAGGGGAAAAGGACGAAAGAGTCCTTGGAGTGGCGCGAACTATTAAAAAGCGTGCGTCCGCTCGAATTCTCGCCGGTAGTAAATTACCCGAAAAAAGAAATAACCGTTGGATTCGACCACTCTCCGCCTCTGTCACCATACCATCCCTCTCTCTCTCCTCACTTTTCGCCAGTGGTCCGCCTTTCTAAAGCCTGCTGGCTTCCTTCCCCCCTCGCGGAGTTCCAGGCTACCCCCGTACTCCTCCTGTGTCCAAGTGTGTGGCCTCGTTGGAGAGGATCGTCGGTCTCTTTTCCTAGGGTAAAAAAGCCCCACTCGACGCGAGGAGCGGGTCCGTGGTCTCAGATAAAAAATTAGCCGGAGTTGCAAACGTTTCCACCTTAAATCATATATTTATCGCGACATTAATTCAACCCTTTTAGGTACCCTTTTTTCCTGGCCACGCCAACTCCGCCTCGACGGTCACCCCTTCTCTCTCTCTCTCTCTCTCTCTGTCGCTCTTTTTCTCTGCATTCTGTCGCGTCCTTCGTTCTCTTCTTCTTTCAACAGGCTTCTGGGACGAACGCTAATTTCTCAGATTCGAGTATTTTTATGTACCGTCGCGCGAACCTGACGGGGGTAAATCCTCTCGTTTATTATTTAGAAGGGGAACGAGGGTATTTTTCGTCGCGTGTGTGGGATGTTGAGAAGGGTGGTCAGAGCGTAGCTGTGTAGACCCACACAGAGGCGTAAAGACGAGCGTTTACCTTGTCCTTCTCTACTTTTTGATGGGGATATACGATCTCGTTATCTCTTCTTACTTCGACTCCCGGCGATTATCCTTCTTTACGGTCGGTTTGCTCGATCGTACACCCCCGCAGACACGGGACACTCGTACGCGTTCCCCGTGAACCGTACAGGTTCATTCTTGAACCTGTGTTGCGTTTACCATGGGACTAACTCTTCTTTCACTTGGATTTTTATCCCTTTTACGGCAGGTTGATTACCCTTTTCACTCGTTAATTACCGAAAGCTTAGCGTTTCTTCTCCATTTTTCAACGAATTACAGACCGCGTCTCTACCTCTGTGCCAGAAATTACGTAGAATAATAATCGTGATACGAAAATTGTCAATTGTCCGAATTTAGTTTAATGTTCGAAAGATCCGTGGAATCGTTTTACGTTGCACAACAGTGCTATCCGTACACGCGCCCGTGCAGCGTGACGTAACCAAACACCATCGAATCCAACGAGAACGCATTACTCACAATGAAATAGGAAACGAGACGTATGTACCTTAGAACCCCAGCGCAACGGTTGTTTACTTAATAAATACATATTTAGTATACACCACATACACAAGCCTAGCGATGCCGGCTGCGCCTATTTTTGCCGTCAGTTTTGTTGTCATAGGACCAGGGCCGATGGGACGTGGCACCCCTCGCCATTGGGTTACGGGGATACACCTAGCTCTTCGACAATGGGTAACGGCTAAACCTGAGGATTTAGACTCGAATAGCTCTAATAGACGAGTGTACTATGTACGGTACACCTAATAAACTCGCTCGTGGAATTTTTCTTCATCCCCTTTTTGTCCCACATACACACACACGTGAAGAAGTAGTTGAATAAATTTCAAATTCTTTCGATATTTCATTTATTCATTTTTCTTTTACTTTACATCGGATTCATACGGTACAATGTAGGAGAATGCAGTATACTTCTGTCGTATCAGCGGAAAATTTTGAAATAGCATAGCTTGTGCGCGGTACCAATTGTCGGACTCTTGAAATACGAGTGAAAGGAATATTTAAGGACACGCCGTTTCGAGGAATATTTCGTCCCCCATTTCCGGTTCGCCTATACAAACTTGAGCCGGTGGTTCAGGTTGCGTCAGGCAACACGTGTACACACGTATTTACGGAGCGTGGTCGTGTGCGTCCACCTCCTCGCGTCGGTGTTATATCCAGTCAACTAAAGAGCGGAATATTCAGAATTTATTAGTGTGTCCGTGGAATCGCATTGTTCGAGTGCACCTCAACCGCGCGTCACAACCATCTTCGACGTACCCGAGAAGCACATATAATCCTCGGACTCCCTTCGCACTTGATCAAACAGTCTCGGATCGACCACTTTTCCCGCAACGAGAAAGCTAAACCCAATCTCAGGCACGAATCCAAAGAACACACACTGTACAGAGTCGAACTCGAAGGCGATCGTTCTCCCAGAACGCAAGTGTCAAATTTCTCCGTCGCGTTCTGCCTCCGAAAATTCATGTCCCCGTAGCGAACACACCCGAACAACTTCTCTCCCTCTCTCGCTCTCTCTCTCTCTGCTAGGGCTTCGACAGTGGCGCGCGTCAGAAAAGTCATTCGTCGCTTACACACACAGGCGGCGGCGGCGGCCCGTTCTGCCAAACAGCCTAAGCGACGCTGATGCGTAACGTTCGAGAGCAGAGACTAGCAGCATATGGGAAGACAGAAGAAAGAGAAAAGAGAGGCTAAGGCGCGACAGAGATCGTGAACGGCCAGAGCAGGCCAGGCCAAAGCCGTGCCCGAGCAGAGATAGCCAGTCAGCCACGGTACAAACGTGCCTGGTATATGATGTACTGGTTTGCCTGCCGGCGGTGGGGTCAGGGACGTGACGAAGGGTGGGTGTTACGGTGAAGCGAGAGGGGCAGAAAAGTCTTCACAGACACGAGACACACGAGCCGGGGGATAGGGGAGGAGGACATAGAGGCCGCGATAAGTGGGGTGGAGGAGGAGGAGGAGGAGGGGAGGGGGGAGATGCCGACAGAGAGAAGGTAGGGCACACAAGAGTAGAAGACGGAGTGGCGTGTGTTGAGAGAGAGAGAGAGAGAGAGAGAATGAGTGAGAAACTATGTGAGAAGAGGGGAGAGGGATATAGAGAGAGAGAGAGAGAGAGGGAGGGAGGGAGCGAGAGAGCTGAAAGCAGGCCTGTTGGTTGGTTTCAACTATATTTGTTTATATTTACACAATAAGCAACAGCCTCGCCGGTTGGGCTGCTTGGTATGCCTGTGCCGCTTTTAGTGTTTAGTCCTCGCTACTCGGTCGCCGCGTGAACGTTGCTTTTCGTCTTCTTTACGGCATCGTCTCTGTGTATCTCCTTCTTCTCCTCCTCCCCCTCCTTCTCCTCCTTTTCTTCGTCTTATACTTCTTGCTTCACGATTTTTCCTTTCCCTCTCTCTCTCTCACTCTCCCTCTCTCTCGTTTGTTATCAGCGAGTTGTTCTTCCTTCTTCTCCTTCGTTATCCAGTTTTCATATTTCTTTTTTTTTTTTCCTTCATCGAGTTCTTTTCGTACGTTTCGATGATTCACTGTCCACGTGCGTTACCACCGGAGTTTCCATCGTGTGTTTTTGCACCCTGTGCGTGAGCTGCGTTTAGAGGTTGAAGGTATTAAACGAGGGAACGCACGCGATACGTTCGGTGTTGTGTACATTCGATTTGGTGAACGTTATTCCTCGCTCGATCGTCGGCCGCCCAGTTGGAGGATCGGCGTACTTCCGGCACGATGGTGACCCTGTGTCGTCGTCGTTGAGGACGCTGCTGTGCTCCCCGTTCGCGCGAGTGCTGTTTCTTCTGTTCAACGTGGTGTCACTTCTCCTCGTTTTTTCTTTCCGGTCGCTTTTTCTCTCGTTTGCGACGCGGAAAGTGTTTCGTTCGTCTCGCGATACGATCCAAAGCGATGTGTACGTGTGTGTGACTGTGCGAGAGGCTCGGTGTGTGTGTGTGTGTGTGTGTGTGTAACACTTCCATGAATTCCAAGCTGTCTGTCGGCCGGCTGAAATTGGCGACCAAGGACTTTTCCTAAAGTAAGCCAAATAATCTTGTTTATCGAGACTAAATACCAAAAACGCGGGCACGTTGCTCGTTCGTAGCTTGCTTCCAAATACAAACGATATATTATTAGCTGTGCGTGTGTACGTGTGCCGCGGTGCAAGCTAAACATTGTTGCCTTTGCCTCGAGTGTATGGAATCACATGCGTCAGACGTGATCTAAAATTGTTCCTCCGCACGAGGGTAATATCGTATAACAAAGCAGATTTTCAAACCTTCGTAGGAACGGTCTCTAACGTCGTCCTTTTCGTTCTTCTTCGTGTACCCAGCCAAAGCCTAAATCTTCTTGCTACACACACACACGTGTATACGTGCACACGTATATAGGCGGGAAAAATTTGGCGGGTATGACGTAACGCGAGATGCAAAGTACACGCGTGTATTACGTGCACGATTCGTTTCAAGTTCAGTGCACCAGAAAGATGAGGCCAACCACTCTGATTGACGTAACGACGATCGTGATTTCAGGACGATGGCATAATGGATCATGACACAGACGAAGACGGCGCGATCAACTTGTCAACGTCACAGCGAACCTCCGCCGCCACCACCCCCAGTGGTGACACCCCCTCGTACGGGCAAGATCAACAAGACAACGACCAGGTAAGGAATTAATCTCTGGAAATTTGCTCTCGATAAGATAACCGGTGTGTCGTTTCTCTCTTCCTTGCACGTTCCCCTCGTACAACGCTGTAAAACTCTTCCAGCCAACCAACCAACCAACCAGTTACTCTCGAATGCATTATCGAAATCTCCGGAACGATGTAATTTCGTTGTACGCTAACGCTCGTTTTTTTCCCGTCAATTTATATAGAGCATAGAGATAGGGTTATTAATAAACGACGACATCACTCCATAAATAGTACTAATTTTAGAAGCAAACATCTGCTTACGCACGATAAAGCGGAACCCGTGTTCTAACGCGTCCGGCTAGACTCATTGATTTCTCGGAATAGTGGAATTTTGACGCGATAAAGAAGTATCGTACATTTTCCCAACAACGACTGTACTCCACGCGTCCCTTAGGAAATTCAAAATGAAATTGAACGAAACAACATCTTCCGTCGATACAGCAAGGTAGCCGAGAACCGATAAAGATTCCTTACCGGGGTTAGGGTGATATCATCGAGGTTAAAGCGTCGAGCATTTCCACCCGAATGCTAGACTTGCGAGGTGTTTGACACCCAGGAACCATAAAATCGAGCCCCCTGATTTCAAATTCAATGAAAAATCCCGCGTTCGCGGCTGAACGCAATATAGCACTCCCGGGTAGCCCGGCGAGGGAAACAAATGTTTTATGGCCCTTAAAACGGCCTTTTCGACGGTTTCCTTTTCCGAAAGGGGGGAACGATATGGTCACACGCTTCTCTCAGCCAGGTATAGAGCCACCACCTTCGGAATGCATATATGCCTGACACGCGCGACATACCGCTTCGAAACGTCTGTGTGCCTCCTTTTCGATACATTATACGCGGAGCATTATCAAATATTCGTGGCATAACCAGGTGCTTTTCGGGGTGGAATAATGATGTTTTTTCAAAGGTGATTCGTTTTAATGGTGATCGTAGATCTTCGCCTTTATGTCACCTCTCTCGGTGAGAGGTTTCAGTGTATGGTCGACTTTTGGTGAAATAAAGAAGTAGTTACGTAGGCCAATTTAATTTTTTAGTAATCCATTCTAATTTTATAAATGCACCAGAAGAGAGAAAATGCACTACGCTCAACTCTGGTTGTTCCGAAGTTAATAAATACAATTTCTGTCTCCGTAAAAACATAATAGGACTAACATCCTCGTGTTTTATTATAGTTTGTGAAAGAAATATAGCCAGGTCGTAAATTACAGTATTATGCAGCGGTACCTAGGATCGAAGGCGTACCTAGATTTCTGACCCTTTTCTTCTCAGTTTCGCCACGCGTGAACTTGGACGACCTCGCTATATTTCTTCCTCCGGCTATACACATTTTAGAATTGTTATAATGAAAACGATCGCATACTCGGTGCTACTAAATTCTTCTCCAAATAGAAACTAACATTCCCGCGCGATGCTAATTCTCGTAACTGTGCAACGATGTTTAGTTTTTATTATTTTTCTTATTTACTCGTTTTTTTTTTTTTTTTTTTTTCTTTTTTTTTTTTTTTTTTTTTCTTTTTTTTTTTTTTTTTTTTTCTTTTTTTTTTTTTTTTTTTTTCTTTTTTTTTTTTTTTTTTTTTCTTTTTTTTTTTTTTTTTTTTTCTTTTTTTTTTTTTTTTTTTTTCTTTTTTTTTTTTTTTTTTTTTACCACGAATTGCGATACGTGCCGCGTTCGATCATTTTCGATATTCTTCGTATCCCATTCACGTGGGCGACGATCGCTCGATAAGACTGTTTCCATCGATAACGGCCACCCGGGTTCGAATATATTATTTTAATATTCGCGGCTAGTCACATTAGCAAGGGTATTTTTGTTCGTACACCGCGTTTGCGCGCGCGCGAGAGCTCGTATGCGTAGATAGTAACGGTGAATATCAAGTTCACGTGACGCACCAGGTAAATACGTGTGTACCAACACGAGCTTGTGAATTACACGTGCGACACGTACATCTGCTCGCCTGTTGGTTACGTGTAAACAGAGATTCGCTTATCGTCAGCCTGACACGTATACGTAAGTGTATACAAAGTCAAAAGTTGGAGAGAGACAGATAGATATGTATAGAGAGAGAGAGAGAGAGAAGTGTAGATGGATATTTTTGGGATAATTTTAACGACACGCTGGTCTACTTTCTCGATCGAGCGTTTTTGTTTGAACCTGTTCGCGATGATTCTCGCACGGCTGAAAAGAGCGAAAGATTAGCGTAAACGTAATCGGGTATACGGGACGAAATAATCGAACCATTAGTCACGGCGAATGATGGACGTTCGCAGTAACAGTGGTCCTTTGAACAGCATGAGATTCGAGTCGATTCGAAGATCGAGTTTAGAGAAACTACTCAAGTTCTGCTGACCACTCGTCAGCTCGACCGCGACTTCCTGTCCTCCTCCATTGTCCCGTAGAGGGACCAGTCTTGCTAGCTTCTGTAACTGCTGATGCGTTCGAACTTACGCCGTCTTAATTCCCTTCGATTGTTTTTCTTCCCCGGAGATTATTCGCAATTACCGCGCTGTTGTCTTTCGTTTATCAAACTGCACCGCCGCGGTTTCATTCAGACTTCAAGACTTTTAGTTTATTGCCCGGGTCTTTAAACGTAATCCTCGGCTGTGCGCATCGTTTCTTTTTTTCCATTTGCTTTGATACCAAGGCACAATTCCACGTTCGGTGTACAATGTGAGTCATCGGTTTGGAATAGACGATAATGTAAAGATAATGTCGGATGAAGTACGTAGAAAACTTCATGGAAATTGAAGGTATTCGCCTGGTGGCATTAATTCACGTTGCACTCCATTATCTCCTCTCCAAAATTCATCGTTCGGCTCGCAGGAAGATTGACGCGGAACTTGGCGACAAGAGTGACTGTCCACGTGAGCTGGAGCTACCGAAACGGATATCCCCGGTGTCTTGAACAACCAACCAGCCCAAGTTTCTGCGGTTTCCTACTCGATCGAAGTCCCGCGGCGTTGCCTCACTCTGTTTATAATTTAATAGCTTCCCCATACCGGAGGGTGGGCTCGCCGACGCTCGAATGACGTCACTGGAGACCTCGAGGACGTCGAAAGTACAGCGTATACAGTTCCATTAGTATTTGGCGAAAACGAACCGCGGAAAATCGGATAAACAGATCGATAAGCAAGCAAGGCAGGCACAGTCGAATGAGATTCTAATCGAATTCTCCACCGTAAAACCGTCGTTGTTCGTATTTATGGTCTGTAAAAGCAACACGATCGAACGCGAATGGATTCCCTCCTCTCTCTCTCTCTCTCCATATCGGATTAACGAAATAAGATATTCTTTAATAATTCAAGCTGCGTTTCAGTCTGACCCGTTGCAAATAAAATGCCTCGACCTGTATCCGTTTTGACGGTGGTGCGCCGTGGCTAAACTCGGTGTGGTTGACGAATCGAGCCGATTGCGTGTTAATATTAGCCGGTTCGATTGGACGCGGGGCTGACGGAAAATAGAATTCGATAAACCGTTTCCTGTAATCCCCCCGTTCGTTACGTCCAATTTTATATCGCAATATTCCATAAATGACGCGTCCAAGTATCACGAAGAAACGTCACCGCGAAGTCTCTCTCTCGCCCTCCCTTCACCCCTCTCGATCAACTCGTGGAATTCGCG